ACTGACGCCTCCAGCTCCGTCTGCTTGGTCGTGACGGCGGCGAGCGCCACGTTGGCCTGCACGACGGCGGCCGCCGCGAGGCCGCACCAGTCAAAGAGCTCAATCTCCTCGTCGGCGTGTGCTTGAGCTCCAGCGTGCCGAGGCGTTGCTGCGCAAAAGAAGGGTCAGCGGTCCGTGCCTCGTGGGCAGAGAAGGAGGAGGAGGAGGATGAAAGGGCGGGCGTACCGTGATGCCCTTGACGCGCCGCCTCACGGTGATTGTGATGGCGACCTCGCTCTCCACCGTGGCGATGGCCTCGACGCCCTCGCCGGGGTTCTGCGTCAGGAGGCCAGATAGGATGTCGACCCACTCGTCTTCGGCGCAGGGGCTGTTCTTGACCAGCAGTTGGGCGACGCGATCATGACGCACTGCACGAATGTCTGGTCAGATCGGGGCTGCCGGACCGGGGGAGGGGAGGCGTCGCGCTTGCAGAAGGCGTGGGAGAAGCACGCGGCCTGAGACGGGGCTGCCGGCCGGGACGCGGCGATCGGCGGGGTAAGACCGGGAAGGGGGAAGAGAGAGAGAAAGAAGAAATGATTTGACGTACATGAGGCCACATAGGGGGCCAGACCATCCGTGCCCACGAGCTTGAGGTCGAGAGGTTTCGTCCGGGTCTGGGCTGCGTTGACGAGGACGAAACTGCCTTCCTCGTCTGATCTTGGAAAACGGAGGACAGAGGCCGTGGCGACCATTTCTGATGAGGTTGGCTTCGTTTGAGTGCGTGACTTGATTGTCGCTCGGTTTCATGTATCAGCTCTGAAAGAGAGGCAGCGCGAGTCTGGAGGAATCGACAGAGTGGCGGCAGCAACAACAACAACAACAACACCACCAATACTACGACCACTAACACCAACAGCAGACAGCCGAGAAAAGCCGGACACCCACACCGTGGTGAAACACTTGACGCAGAACAGATCGGGTCGTAAGGACGGATGAGGCCCAACTGACGGGTCGAACGAGCGAGGACGACAGGTGACGGCGGCGGGCCGAGAACAAGACTGGTCGTCGTGGGTGTGATGACGGGAAGGCTAGAGATGCTAGTCGACCAGTGTCAGGATGATGACGATGTCGATAGTTTGCCGGGCGCGGAGATGAGGTTGCTAGGATGCTCTCGGCCGTCGGCAGAGGTTGCAGCTCCGAGCTGGAGAAAGAAGGCAAGAAAAAGCAAGATGAAGTATTGATCTCTCGATAGTTGCTTTTGATGAAGAAATCCCGAGAGAAGCAACAAGCGTCTGTGCTCTGGGCTGCAGCTAACAGATGGTGGATGAGTCGCGCGTGAGAAAAGTAGCCGTCTGCTTGATTTTTTCTTTCTTTTAATAGGCAGCGACGGCGTGAAGCTCGAGATGGTCTCGAGTATTTCCACCGAGGGGCCAGCAAAGCCAACAAAAGCCAGGATAGGCACCAGGGGCGCCAGCGACGATGAAGTTGCCTGCCTGATGGAGGTAGGTAGCTTGGTGATGGAGGTGGTGGTGGTGGTGGAGGTGGTGGTGGAGGTGGAGATGATCTCCAGGCAAACACGGGGGCCAATCGACCGATCGACAGGTTAGACAATGTTCGGCGTCCTACGTCCTTGCAAGTACTGCAGAGGGGGTGCTCATGTGCAACGTGGTTGGTGAGACTGGACCAGCCCTGACGGAGAAGGCTAGGCCTTCTTTTAGGTGCTCAAAAAAGCCAGTTGTGATACCAGTTGGACATGTGTACATACATAGGCTTCTGTAACAATGACAGGTAGACACCTGAGGATAGTCCAAGCACGCCTGTGTACATCTGTACAGAACAAGCGCGATCTGACGCGTCAAGGTCGTGTCTGTGCTGCCTGGCTCGACCCAATCAGTGGTGGAATGCAAGCTCCATGAGCCACGTGACTTGCTGGCCTGACGGCATCATGTCCCAGTCCACCTGTCCACCTGTCCAGTCTAGATGAGTCTTCCAGAGGGGCTCCCCCCCTGCTGTCATGTCTCGCCATCAGGGCCTTTCACTCGCCAGCCCCCTTCAAAGGCCCCGCCTAAACAGCACATTGAGCACTAAAGCAACCGTGCCTACGGCCACCTCACCAGGACCCAGCACAAAGAGGGACCTACCGAGACAGCAGGCCAGCAGGCCAGCACGCCAGCACGCCAGCAAGCAGGGCCAGTAGGTACAATGTAGGTGCTAGGTGAGGCCGAAGTAGGGTCATCCCCAGCCCCCAATCGCCCGACGGCTCAGCCCTGATTTTCGCATCCTCCATGCATCCAGTCCCCCCCTCCCGACCATCTCGTGGCATGCTCCAACATTTGACGATACCTCACCCACACCACCCAACCCGCCACCTACCTACACACCCAACGTCATCCACTGCGAGCTGCTACCACTCTGTATACTCAATCCGAAAGTCTCTCTTCTTCGCCCTGTGAACTCTACTACGATCGATTGTCGATTTCGCATCGCCGCCCCTGAACGAAAATTTACGACGTGCACCAGCGGGACAAATTAACCGACGACTGTGTTGTCCTGCTCCTGCTCCTGCTCCTGCACCAGTCCGAAAACCCTCAACCCTCAACCCTCAACCCACTCCCAGCCACCCGCCATTTTTCGCATCCGGCCACCTTTTGCGGCCTCCCACAAACCCTTCTCAACTCTCCATTGCGACACCTTTCGACCTGATCCAGACGAAGCAATCAATCGACAGGAAGGCCCGACGGCCTTTGCATTGTTGTTGCTCTGGTGTGGACGACATGATCTCGCACCTTCCGTGAACAACGAAAGCTGTCGGATCCTCGACGTCCTCGCTGGACAGCGACCACATCACGTCACCCAGCCCAGCGACCTCCAACCCAACACTACAGAAGCAAATCAACAGTAAACCACAGTAGTAAACTTTCTTCCACGATGGAGGCATTACGCTTGAAGCCGCGGCAGCCGGTGGAAGAACAGATTGAGGATTGGGATGATGGCGACTTCCAGATCGATGCCGGCGAGGCCCCCTTCCGCCCCGCCAATTCGCACAACCAACCGCCGAGTCGTCGCGACTCACACTCGTCCGTCATGTCCTTGCGCTCCGAGCTCGAGTCGTTACCCGACGACGAGAGGCAGCTCCATCTGCCCGGCGATGACGAGCGTTCGACCCTCGACGCCATCGCCGCTGCCACCAAGGCCGGCATCCCTATCCCGCAAAACGTCCCCTCGTCAGCCCTCATGGGCGGCACGATCAAGCGCCTGGGCGGCCGCAAGATTAAGAGGATCATCCAGGACGACTGGGAGAACGATCTCGAGCTGCCCGACTCCGCACAAGCCCTTCGCATAAAACCACAGGACGCCTCGCAGTTCCCCGACGCCCTGCGACAGGTGAGCGGCCCTCACTCTAGCCCCACCAAGTTGTCGGCCGCCGTCCGTCTGTCCATCAGCAAAGACGAGCGGAGACAATCTACCATGTCCATGTCGAGTGTCGTGTCGGGCGCTGCCAACCTGGACAAGTTTAAAGACAACGATGACGAAGACGATGACTTCTTCGATGACGGAGCCGCTACCATCAAAGTCTCCAAGACACGCCCACCCAAGCCCATCTCGCTCATCACGCCACCTACCCCTCAGAAAATGGACAAGACGGACAAGATTGCCGGTGCCGACGACGACTTTGAGGGCGACTTCGAGCTGCCCTCTGACGGCAAGCTCAAGCTCTCCACGCGTAAGACTATTCCCAAGACGCCGGCACGCAGGCCGAGGATCTGGACTGGGGTGAAGGCAGCTTGGGCACTCGATTCGGCGGCACCAGGAGAGACGGCCGATCCAACCGAAGCTCCTCGGCCTCCGGCCTCAGCCCCAGCGTGTCCAGCTCGTTCACTGCCGAGAGCGAAGACGACACCTTTGAGGGCCTCCTGCTGCCAAGCGGACACGTCAACTTTGAGGAGCGACTCGTGCGAAATAGAAAGAGCCGCTCGCCCGTCCGTACGGTGGAAGAGGAGTCTGCCGATCTCAAGACTCCTCAGCCTCAGGCCCAGGCGCCTCAGGTCCAGCCCGCACCGCGCGCCCCCCAAGCTGAAGCCGACAAGGATGACATGTTTAACGATCTCGAGCTCGGCGACGGCGAAGTCTTTGATTCGGGCAAGCTCACATTACACCGCAACATCCGCATGAACACAAACCGCCCCGCCAGCCCGACGCGGCCCAAGACGGCCGTCTCCATCACCTTCACCAACAAGCCCGTGCAGTCACGTCTGCCGAGACCGAACCATGAGCGCGCTCAGTCTTCTTTGGAGCCCGTGTCGGAGAGTGGCGGTCCCATTCAGTCCAGATCGAGGCGGTCGCAGTCACGCATGGGTCACTCGTCACATTCTTCTGTCACCAGTCTACCCACGCCAACGACGCCTTCTCCCATTCAGCTCATACAACCCGCAACGCCCCGCAGGCGAGAGATGAGCAAGCCTACATCCCACGCCTCTCTCCGCAACGAGCCCACCACCACCAGCTCCCAGCTGTTAAAGTTTAAGCGATCTTTGCCGGCCATGCGAGCGACACCGCAGTCGCCCGCCAAAGCCCCCATTCCTCGATATGAGAGACCCCCCTCTCGCACCGACGGCCGTCCGCAGTCCTCTCTGCGACCCAAGACGCCGGTCGAGAGACGAGCCGCTGGAGAGCCCGCGCTTCAGACGGCCCGCAAGCCGTTCCTGCCCGCTGGTTCATCTACCACGCATTCACATCACATATCTGCCAAGACGGGACGGTCACTACGACGTCACGACTCGAACAGTTCCATCGATCTCCGTCCCGTCTCAAGGACCGTCTCCCGGTCCACAATGCGCTCGCCTAGTCCGCAGCGCCTCCACCGCAGCGCCAACCAGATCGCCCACGGCGGACCGCGGGCTGGCTATTACCAGAACCGATCCAAGACGTTTGGTGACGGGCATGAGCTCGACGCTTTTGACGACCTGCCTACGTCGAGCCAGGCAGAGTCCAAGTACGTCTGCCAGCCAGCAAAGGCGCCTCTGCGAAACAAGATTTACCAGAACGTGCTGCCCGACCGCAACACGACCCCCTCACCGGTGCCTCCATCGCCAGCCAGATTCGACCGATCTGACAGCACACCACACTTTGCCCGCGACACTGCAGCTAGCAGGATCGCGCGGGAGACGTCACTGGCTCACCGTGCTCCTTCCAATGGACCGCTTGCACAATTGACGACCCAGCGTGTTGCGCAGCTTTCTAGCAGAAACAACTTTCACCCGGGTGTCCCACAGCCGACGGTGCGCTCTAAGAAGCATCGCAACAAGCCTCCGCAGCTCAAGCCGCATTTGATTACCAACATGAACAAGGACAATTCTTCGAGGCGTAAGTTTTGATTTCGATGTCCCCAATGGGCGGAGACAGGGATACTAACAAAATGACAGACGAGAAGGGCATGTTCTATAACCCACAAACACACCGATGGGAAGGCAATGAGAACGCGCTCAGCGCCTTCGACCCCCCAATGCCTTCGCCTTCGACTCTGACCCCCATCGCTCACCTGCCGCGCGAGAAGGAGACTGGCACACCCCGCCCGGCTCTCATCACCAACATTACCGGGACCAAGAACGTTCAGGTCGTCGGAGGCATGGTGTTCGACCCGCAGAACATGTGCTGGCTCAAGCTGGACCCTCAGAACAAAGCAAAGTCCGAGTCCAATGATACGATGGATGGCTTCAACGCCCTGGACGACGACGACGATGTTTTCAAAGACATCCCCGACCTCGAGGACCCTCCTGCCGACTCTGCCGAAGGCGGTCACGGCCGTGTCAGCGACGTCAAGGACGACTGGCTTGTCGGCGAGGAGTTTGACGTCGGCCCCGAATTTGTGCGCCGACAGCGTGAGGAAGAAGACCGGTGGAGGAAGAAGTGCGAGAAGTGGCTCGACGTGCCCGACCGCAACCGCGAGACCTGGCGCTGGGCCATCCGCGACCTTCTCGTGCACCAGCGCACCACGGCGCAATAAGGGCGACCGCCCCCTCTCAGAAATACATTCGAAGCGAAACTCGTACATTTGCACACACTCACACCACGACCACCCAACCTGCCATTTACCCATCTACGCATTTTAATACCCCCCCAACGTTACGATCGTCATGATGAGGTTGCAGCTCTTACGGGAGCTGTGGAGTTTACGGGGCGCGACAGCATTGTTTTGCGGATTGGCATGATTTTTTCATTTACTGATTTATAGCGTGGGGAGGCGGCTCCCCACACTGTCTGTGTATTATCACCCCCATCATAACCATGAAGACTATGAACTGAGGAGGCTTTAAAAGTTGTGCAGCTGCAGCAAGCAGCCGCGTTGTTGATTTTTCGAAGTGGTAGAGCCAGAGGCAGAGGGGTTGAGGAGCCAGGATAGGGGGTCAGCGTTTGCCGACTTGATGGATGGCGAATGCGTTGAGCGAACAAAGAAATGAAGGGAATTGCCTGTGACATTCGTGGCGCTCAGATGTGTTTCAATGTGATGACATGCAAGTAACGTATTTTTTCAGAGACGTGTGATTTCAAAGACGTGAATGCTTCGTTTTCTGTACGAAACCCAAACTCCTGGTACATAGATTTGCCGGGACGACACCACCAGGCTGCGCTGCTTCACATGATCTCGGCCACACATATTTTTCTCTCGCTCCGCCCAGTCGGAGGCCCGTCTACTTTCCGCCCGTCTTCTTGCCCTTCTTGCCCTTCTTCTTCTCGGGCGTCGTCTTCGTCTCGGGCACAACCTTCTCGGCCGTCTCGGTGATCAGGCCGGCCTTCTTCAGCTCGACCTCGTCAGCGGGCTTCTTGGTCTTCTTCTCGCCCTTGGGCGCCTTCTTCTTCTTCTTCTCTACGGCGGCGACGGGCTCCTCCACGACGGGCTCCTCGTCCTCGGCCTTGGCCTTGTGGGCCTTTTTCGACTTGCCGTCCTCCCGCGTCTTGTCCTCGCCCTTCTTCTCCCCCTTGGCGTTCGCCGCGCCCTTGTCGAGCGCGTGCGGATCGAGACCCCTCCTGCGCATGGCATTCCTCTTCGCCTTGAGCATATACCCCTCATCCTCCTCGTCATCAAAGCCGCCGAACCCGTCGTCGCTCGTCCCGGCGCCCTCCTCCTCCTCCTCGGCACCAACGGGCGTCCTGTCGACGAGGGCACCCTCGTCGTCGCCGCCGTCGCCCGCGCGGCGGCCGTTCTTGGCCGCGACGGACAGGCGGTCGGCGTCGGCGGGGCCGGCGACGGCCTTGGCGGGCGTGGGGCCGACCTTTTGGAACTTGGACACGAAGAAGCCGTCGACGTTGTACGTGTGCGGGTAGTAGCGGCGCGTCAGCTTGAGGGAGGCGTCGAACGTCTTGCCCATGTACGACGTGAAGCCCTCCTTGCCGAAGGGGAGGCCCGTGTCGACGAGCTTGACGTTTGGGCGCCGGGAGAGGGCGTACTGCACGACGGCCTCGCTGTGGGAAGGTCGTTAGTTATTTTTCTCATCTCTTTTTTGGGGGAGGGGGGGGGGGACAGCAGGGAGACGGGCGTCGGGGTATATGAATGCTTCGGGCAGGGGACGTACTTCTCCTCAATGGTGACGCTGCAGGTGGAGTAGACGATGAAGCCGCCCGTTTTGCTGTTGTGGTTCACCGAGTCGATGGCGGCGAGGAGCAGCTGCTTCTGCATGTGTGGGAGCATCATGAAATCGCGCTCCGTCTTGTTGGTCTTGACGCTGGGATCCTTGGCAATGACGCCCGTTCCGGAGCCTGTGCGATCAATGTCAGCAGCTGTGGACGACGGGGGTAGCATCTCTGGCGGAGCCACGTACAAGGAGCATCGAGGAGGACCCTGTCGAAACCGCCCATGGGCTTGGGGAATTCTCGCGCATCGTAGTTGGAGACGACGACGTTGCGCGCGCCGAGCTGTCGTCGTGTTAGTAAACGCCGGTCAAAAATGCCATGACGAGCCAAACGTACGCGGTGAATGTTACCGATCAGACCCTTGGCACGAGCCTTGTTGGGATCGTTGGCCAAGATGAAGCCCTTGTTCTTCATCATGGCAGCCATGTGTGTCGTCTTGCCACCGGGAGCAGCGGCCATATCGAGGACGCGCTCGTTCTCCTGGGGTCCGAGGGCCATGACGGGAAGGAACGAAGAGGCGGCTTGCTGAGAGGGGGTTAGTCTTCCTGTCAAGACTGCGTGCAGCGCGGGCCTGAACGTACCAGAATGTAGTGTCCGGCGAGGTACTCGGGGCTGGCACCGAGGGGAATGCTGCTCTCTAGCCAGAACGTCAGCAAGTCGTTCACTTTCAACGCTCCCAGGACGAGAGAGGACTTACCAAAGACCTGGAGACCGACCTTGCTCCACTTGCCGACAGGCTCCAGGACAACACCTCGAGAGATCAAAGACTGGGCGAGGTCTCTGCGGTGTGTCCTCAGAGTGTTGGTGCGAATGACGATGGGTCTCGGGCTCTCGTTGGCCTCAAAGAAGGAGAAGGCTTCGCTCGGGCTGAACAGGTTGAACAGCTTCTCAGCAAGGTATTCTGAGTAGCCGTAGTAGCCGCAAATGTCCTTGATCAGTTGCGCCGTGTACTCGGAGCGGCTGCGGCCGGGGTCGGCCAGTTTGGCGAAATCCTCGAGAATGCGCACATTGTCGGTCATGCGGTTGCGGAGAACGTGCAGATCCGGCGCGAGGGCCTTCTTCTTGGGGTCCTCGTTGTCGTCATCAAGCACCATGCCCGTCTCGGCGATATTCGTCTGCAGGCCCATCTCCTCGAGCTCAGCCGCCGCATCCTCGGCCTCCTGCGCCGCCTGCTCGTCGAGCTTGCGCGAGAGACCCTCGAGGTTCGCCCGGCTCAGCGCCTCCTCGCCATCCGAGTCGTCCTCGTCCTCGGAGAAGACGTGCTTGTTCTGCTCCTGCTCGGGGTCGTCAGAGTCGAATACCGAGTCGTCAGAGCCGAGGAAATCGTCGCCCAGCGTAGCGTCGCCGTCGAGGCCAGAGAGTTCGTCGTCGCTGGCAGCAAGGTCGGCCATGTCATCGTCGTCCGAAAGCTCGGCCTCCTCCTCGACGACCTTGGCCTTCTTGCCCTTCTTGGGCTTGCTGCGCGGGTTCACCGCAGGGGTGACAGCGGCGTCGGCCTTTACACCATTGGTGCCCTTGGCGGACTTGGCCTTCTTCGCAGGCGGTGCGGCGGCCTGCTGCTTGCTCGCGCGTCGCCTCTTGTTCTGGGGTGCCTCGGTGGGCTCATCGACGGGGAGGCCAGCCTTTCTCTTGAGCTTGGCGAAGTGAGCCTCCGACAGTGGCTCGGGAGGGCCCTGCTTCTTGAATCGGTTTCCGACCTGTTTCTCGAGTCAATTCTTGTCCAAGATACTCTAGTAGTTTTAGGTACTAGAAGATATACGTACACCCATGATTCCTGTGGTTCGTTGAAGGGCGGTATATCAGAATCGTGTCGTCGTCCGTTGTCGTCAGGTGGTCGCGATCCCAGAGATGCGCCAGCCAGTACTGTCCGCTGCAGAAAAAAGTTGGACCCCCACCGAAACTTTTCCTTGATATCGATATCGATGCACGGACGCTGCGATAAGCCGGGGAGCTTGGACACTGTGTGCAGTACGTACCTCTGGCCTGCTTACCTAAGTCGGTCTCGGCCTTTGGGGCCTGCACTGCGGGTAGCTACAGTGAGGTAGGTACCTGGGTACCTGCCTACCTAGGTACCTACGTACGTGGGGCAATGGATGGATCCAAGAGTTGGCTCCCAGTGACGAGGTAGACAACCGCACATCTTCGTGACGTCTGAAGCCTCCGTGTAACAGCCATACAGTCTGTGATCCAACCCTCACCACTCAACGCACCCAAGAACCGACAGCCACGTAGAAGTCACTTCAGCAAGAGACTCCGAACACCGCAAACATGGCCGAGGTCGTTTTCGCACGACAGTTCCTGTCGACCCTCGACTCCAAGCCCATCAAGCTCTCCGCAGACCATGTCGAGGATCCCAAGAACTTCCCCGCGCGCCCTCCCGTTCGTCGCCTCTCCCCCTCCGTCCCAGCAACCCCCTTTCCAGCCCGTCCGCCGCCCCATGCTGACCCGCGCAGTACGTCCTCCCCAAGATGCCCAAGGCCTTCAGCAAGCCCGCAGCGCCGCTGGCCCCAGGCCAAGAGCGCAGCGTCACCGTCGTCCTCAAGTCGCTGCGCAACCCGCCCATCGACGTCAAGCTCACCTCACAGCCCCTCAACACGTCCGTCCTCGACCTCAAGGCCCGCGTCGCCGAAACGGCCCGCGTCCCCGCCGACAAGCTGCGCCTGCTGCACCGCAAGAAGCCCGTGCCCGACAGCAAGATCCTCAAGGACCTCGCGGGCGACGACGAGGCGACGGTCGAGTTTGCCGTCATGGTCATTGGCGGCGCGGCGGCCGTGCAGCAGCCGCCGGCGGACGGCGAGGCGGGCGTCGGCGTTGCGGGCGAGGCTACGGGTGCCGCGGCGCTCGAGACGGAGGCCTTTTGGACGGATCTCAAGGGGTTCCTGATGCAGAGGCTCAAGGACGAGGCCGAGGCCGAGAAGCTGGCTGCGTCATGGCACGCCGACTGGGCGAGCAAGAGGTAGACAATAGGAGGAGGACACTTTGAGCATGTGCGAGAGGAGGAGGGCGTTCATAGCTACGGTGGGAAATCGACAGCGATCATGGAGCATCAAATGAGAACACGAGAATGACAAAGTGTGGAGACGACAGCGAGAATCGTGTTTACATCCCAGCGTGTGATAACTTCCGTACGGAGTACTGTGAAAAACGAAACAGCACAACCAGGCGGAGGGCCATCAGATCTGGGAAATCAAGCCTTGTCGCGGTCTCAGAGAAAAAAACATGATCCGGGGCCAATCCCTGGGTCTGTCTGGGCCCGCCCGGTCGAGTACGTGGGTATACGCGAGCGGAGACGGAGACAACAGCCATCAGGGGCTCCCCCGGCAGACTAACATTTCATCCTCCCCTTTTCGCGATTGCAACAGTCAACCTCTCCGTCATTGGGTCATCATTCGTCTCTGAGGACGGTAGCCGCTAAAGAGTATATGCTCTCCGTCTTCGCGTTAAGAAAAAGCTCCAAGATACGGTGCCGGCAAGTGTGTGTGGGAGGGGGGCGGCGCTGGGAACGACACGTTTATGCGGCAAGACCCTTACTGACGGTCTTGATGATGCTGTCATACTCAATGTCGTCGGGATCGTTGGCCTGGAGCTCAGTCGCGAGACCGGTCAGGGAGCGCTTGAGAGCCTCCTTGGAAGAGGCGTAGATCATCTTAGCCTGTGTAGAGTGTCAGCACGCCGTCTATGCAGAGGCCAGGTAGTTGCAGAGATGAGAGGGCAAGGTGCTTACCATGATGCCAGCATCATCGGGGGACCACGCGATGAAGGCGATCTTGTTGCTGCGGTCGGTGTCAGTATGTGAGCCTGCGCCAAAGTTCTGTTGGCGACATACCGCTCGCCCTCGCCAGAGGCAAGGCTGTACTGGAAGTCGTAGACGGCGTAGCGGGGACCCTTGCCGACGGCACCCTGAACCTCGTTAGCGCCGTCTCGTCTCTGATTTGGACTGCAGAGCGGCTGCGACGTACAGTCTTGGACTTGCTGGTGGCGTTGATGAGCCTCTCGCGGAAGGTCTCCCAGTCCTTGTTCTCAGAGGCCTCCTCGATGACAATCTGCTTGTTGTCGTCGGACAGCTTGAAGACAATGTACTTGTACTTCTTGTTGAGCTTCAGGTCGTTGTACGCCTCGATGCACTCCTGGGAAACGGACGCTCTGTGTTGGGTTGCCAAGTCAGCGTCTTGTTGCCGTGTTGCACTCCAGGAAACACCTCGTTCGGTCCATGTTGCGGGGGTCGCCCGACCGGGGTGGCCGGGCGGGCGTAGGCGCCGAGGTTCGACAGAGCTGGTTGGGGTGAATGAGGATGAACAAACCCGGATTGAGACTGCGATCGAGGTTAGGGCCCGTTGCAAACAAGACGTTGTCGGCCGGAAGCGTAAGTCACTCACCATTGTGTATGTGGGATGGCGGGGGGGTGCGCAAGTGGGTTGGGGAGACGGGCTGAGCTACAATTAGCACACAGCTGGGATGGCTTCGAAATGAACGGTTTGTGAGGATGAAGCGACAGAGGTCCGAGGTTGCAGAAGCTTTTTAAAACTGGCAATGCCTGGTGGAAAAGGTGGGTTGGGAGGTGCAGGCAACAGCTTACAGTAAAGTCAGGATACGTAGGCAGAGAGAAGGAGTTGGAGTTGGGTCGATGTCCTGGTCTGTCGAGTTGTTGGCGGCTGGGGGCCGTGGAGGGGGGGGAGTGGGAGAAAAACCGCCCCAGCATGGTGGGGTTGGCACGGTGAGACATGCCACGTGACCCGCGTCGTCAGCCACAGAACACCAGTGCACCACCCGAACAAGAGCATCCCCCATGCAGTTCTTGGCCTGATGGTGCGCGTCCTGCCTGCATTGCATCCTCTTGAGACTGGTCTTTGACCCCTCCATTCCTTCAGTGTGCCCTGAACCATTACCAGGGATCTGGACAAAGCCTGGACGCACTGGGCGATTAAGCTGACGCAAACCCAGGCAGCAAGATCACGCATGGCGCACATGATGTTTAACTTGTTTTGTTCATCCTAATTTACACGGCTGATCGGCGCTATAGTACAAAGATGAGCTCAAGCTGTGCAGCTGCCTCGCCAGCATCTGCTCTGCTCGTCCTAATGGAACATGGTCGAAAAGACGAGAGGTAGAGAGGAGTTGTAGTACAAGGCCGCGATCCCATCCGTTACAGAACACCAAAGCCATGCTCCTTCCCCCGTCCCGAATCACTTTTGATACAGAAAAATTTGGTCAACCACTTTCTTACATCATGCCACCCATGCCACCCATGCCGCCCATACCGCCCATGCCGCCAGGAGGACCGCCGGGGCCCTTCTCCTCGGGGGCCTCGACAATGGCGACCTCGGTGGTGCCCAGCAGAGAGGCAACACCGCTGGCGTCACGAAGACCAGTGCGGACAACCTTGAGGGGGTCGAGGATACCGGCAGCGATCATGTCAACGTACTCGCCCTTGGCCGAGTCAAAGCCCTTGTTGAAGTCGCCAGCGAACTCGTCAGTGAGCTTGCCGACAACGACAGAGCCCTCGAGGCCGGCGTTCTCAACAATGTTGCGAGCGGGGCGGGTGATGGCGTTCTTGATGATGCTCACACCAAGCTGCTGGTCAAAGTTGCCGGGCTTCAGGTCCTTCAGGGCGTTGGTGGAAGCCTTGATCAGAGCAGTGCCACCGCCGGGCAGGATACCCTCCTCCACGGCAGCGCGGGTGGCGTTCAGGGCGTCAACGAAGCGGTCCTTCTTCTCGCCGACCTCAACCTCGGAGGAGCCGCCGACCTTGATGACGGCGACACCACCGGAAAGCTTGGCGAGACGCTCCTGGAGCTTCTCCTTCTCGTACTCGGAGGTGGTGGGGTCGTTGATGACACCACGGATCTGCTCGCAGCGCTGAGCGAGGGCATCCTTGTTGCCCTTGCCGTTCAGGAAGATGGTGTCCTCCTTGGTGATGGTGATGGAGCCGGTGGAGCCGAACATGTCGGGGGTGGCCTTCTCGAGCTTGACATCGAGCTCATCGGAGAAGACGGTACCGTTCGTGAGGACAGCAAGATCGCCGAGGATGGACTTGCGGTTGTCACCGAATCCGGGAGCCTTGACGGCGGCGACCTGGAGCTGGCCGCGGAGCTTGTTGAGGATGCAGACGGCGAGAGCCTCACCCTCAATATCCTCGGCGATGATGACCAGGGGGCGGCGGGCCTGGGTGGAGGCCTCGAGGGCGGGGATGATGTCCTGGACGGCGGAGATCTTCTTCTCGGACAGCAGGATCAGGGGCTTCTCGAACTCGACCTTCTGGGCCTTGGTGTCGGTGATGAAGTAGGGGGAGACGAAGCCGCGGTCGAAGCGCATACCCTCGGTGACCTCGAGCTCGTCGGCCATGGTCTTGCCCTCCTTGACGGTGATGACACCCTCCTTGCCGACCTTCTCCATGGCGTTGGCGATGAGCTTGCCGATGTGGTGGTCGCCGTTGGCACTGATGGTGGCGACCTGAGCAATCTCCTCGCTGGTGGTGATGTCACGCGTGTTCTTCTGGAGGTAGTCGACGACGGCATCGACGGCGGCCTGGATACCACGGCGGAGATCCATGGGGTTGCAGCCAGCGGCGACGTTCTTGACAGTCTCGGAGAAGATGGCACGGGCGAGAACGGTGGCCGAGGTAGTACCGTCACCAGCGACCTCGTTGGTCTTGGAGGCGACGTCCTGGACCAGACGAGCACCAAGGTTCTCGAACTTGTCCTTCAGGGTGATGGACCTTGCGACGGTGACACCATCTGTTTTCTATCAGCACTGAGGTTGCAAAGAGGCGAACGAATAGGCTGGGGATGCTGACCCTTTGTGATCTTGGGGGCGCCGAAGCTAGACTCGATGAGAACGTTGCGGCCCTTGGGGCCAAGTGTTGTCGAAACGGCCTTCGCGAGGGTCTCGACACCGGTGAGCAGGGCAGCGCGAGCCTCAACACCGAACTTCAGTTCCTGTTCATGGAGCGATGAGCGATGAGCGATGATTCCAGCATGTCAAGATGTCGTCCCTAGCATTGAGCATACCTTGTGAGCGTAGCGGACCTGGCCGAGAGCAGCGCCCTGGCGGAACTGGCTCGTCGCCGAGTTCAGGACCGAAGTCCTCGTGCGGGAGGTCAGCGCGCGCTGCATTGTGATGAATTAGAAAAGGGGTATATGTGGTATCACAACAAAGAAGCGACCGTAAAGTACACAGTCGCAGAGGAGAGAGAAATGACGACGGGTTGCTTGAGAGGAATATGGGGGGGGAGGATGGAGTAGAAGGAGGTTTGCTGATGGAAGCTCTGCAGAAGCTCCCCTTCGCGTCCCGATGTCCCATCCCCAAAAATTTATCTCGGAGCTCGGCTAAACGAGGCCCCTTGTGCTCCCTATTCCCGATTCATCCACGCTAACCATCTTTGGTTAAAGCGAGACCCATACAGAATTCCACCTCCTTCCAATGCCGTCTGTCCGATTTGAAGCCATCGTGAGTCGAGCAATGTTTACAACCTGGCCGCGGCCGGCCTCTTGCCGTGAGGTTACCTTGATGGCATTCTATGGAGCGCACGGCAGGCTTGTCATCGACGGCTTTGTTATGGTGAACCAATGGCAAATACTGTTGTCGCAAGCCGGTGGACAAAGTAAACAGTAGGACGGAGAAGAAAACAGAGCCATTAGAACCAGTGAATTAACTAAATGGTTTCTGGAGCATCCCAAGTGTACTGATACCTTATAGCGACCATCACCAACGCAGCGCGGTTCAGCTCTCCTGGTGCTGTGATGACAAAGGCCTCCCTGGCCAAATACCTATGGGGCCGCTGATTCAGGGGCAGATACAGGGGGAATACAGTGCCGGAGAGAATGAGTGACAGTGTCACAATTGGCCAGTCACTCGGAGGCAACAGCTGCACAACACACGAAGGGGCGCTCTTCTTATGGTTGAAAGGCTATTTCAGAGCCCATACTTCTGCTCTCTTTCCCATTTATCTTTGGATGTCCTCGGCCTGGTGGCGTGCAATCATCGATTCCCATGTATGAGCAAATGCCAGCAGCTGATTCCCGTGCCTGGGTTTTCTTCCTTGGTCGCTCACAACGTCGTATGCCCTGTTTGTGACCTCTGTAGAAAAAGCTCACTCCTTCGTCTCCTCCTCAGGCTCTTTCTTTCCTGTATTGAATATGATAGTCAGAAAATTGAAGCTGCGGCTGCAGGTACTGTCTTGAATTCAGGCCGACATACCAGCATTCTGCTCGACAAACGGGTCCTCGTCATTCTCCTTCACCGGGACGGCGACGGACTTGGAGCGCTTGGTCTTGCCCTCCCCGGCACCAGCAGTAGCCTTGGTGGCGCGCTTGCGCTTGGCGGGGGTAGGAGCAGCAGCAGCGCTCGGATCCTGTGAGGCAGCTGGGGTGGCCGTGGCCGTGTTGGTGCCTTTGGTGGTCAGGTCCGAGGGCTTCAGGTCGAAAGTCTTCAGAAGCCGCTCGAAGCGCTTGTGACTTGAAGTAGCGATCGATTAGCATAGGGTGTCTTGGACGAGGTGGGGGGAGATACGTACGCGGCTGCCTTGCTGGTGATCTCAAGCTCGTTGGCGACGGCTTGGAAGTTGATCTTGCCAAGTCAGCGGTTTCCTGCGAGTCTTCGTCGATGTTAGGGGCATTCACCTTGTTGTCGGCACCGAAATTCTTCCAGCAGCAGATGACAAGCTTGAGAGCCTCCTGCGAGGTGTCGGCGGCGTTGCCAGCAGGAGCAGTGCTTTCAGACATGGTGGTGGTCTGTCGGGTTGGTACTGATATGATGTATGTGGTTACTTGGGCTTCTTGAGCTGATGAGGAGTGCTTGCTGCTGCAAAACAAGTTTGTCAGGTTGGATCAAGTTGAGGCGTAGAAGAAAGAAAATATGTTGTCGTAGAGGTTGCGCACGACTGGAGAACCCAAAAGAGCTGCTGGGAATATATGGCCGGCCAAGGGAAGGAAGGACAAGCACTTGCAGTCCATAAGAACCATGTGCGTGCAGGTGATGTCTTGCTTTTCTCGATGCCTTGTAGCTTTTACGAGCGCATTCAAGTTTGCAGAATGGAAGTCAGACTTACCACTTAAAGCTTGAGAAAGTGAATGAGTGCCCTGGAATTCGAAGCAGGTGCGCTTGCGACAATGGGACAAAAGCTGAACGCACAGAAGACACTTCTATCACTGAATTGAGACTAAATCTACAGATTCTTGAACAGTCTACAACCAATCGTCGGCTATCAACGCAGGGGCTTTCAAGTAACACCTATCATTCACTGTTGTACACCTATCGCTCTCCCCAGTATTTCCGGACAGGGCTTGCTCTCCTGATCCTCCGAGAGAAAGCCCCCAACAGTGCTTCGTGTATTGGACTTATCTGCATCGTCCAGAGGCAGCTGCGTCTAGTAATTGCCCCATGGCCTCCCGCCGTCTTTCTGGCTGTAGCTCTGAAAATTCTAGGAGGTGCAGACCTGTTCAAGCATATCGGTGCGTCTGTAGTTGCAACGAACTTCATTTCAAAGATAATTACTAATTATGACTACAACTATGCGAGGGTCATCATATACGACATGAGAAAATAATAGAGAGTAGGGGTATGCCCCTGATCTATGTGTGTTAGGACTCCAAGCATGAAGAAGTCTTCTGCAAAAAAGACACGACAGCAAGCCACTGTGCTAACAAGGCCAGCTGTTTACCAGTGGCTGTATCCGCCCTTGACAGCACCGAAAAGCTTGCCAAGGAAGCCAAAGGCGCCGCCGACAATGACGCTAAGGGTGCTCGCAACGAAGCCAGTGACGAGCGAGACGATACCGGCACCGCCGAGAATGGCGCACAGGCCCGCAGAGAGCGCGGCCTTGATGCCAAAGAGGCCGAGGGCGGCGACGCAGAAGACCTTGTCGGCGAAGATCTGGCCGATCAGAGCGACGAAGCCGATCTTGGCGGAGAGGAAGGCGCCGAGGAAACCGCAGAACTTGGCGGCAAAGTCGGCCTCGAGGAAGAGCTTGGCCCAAGCCTTGAAGAAGGCGCCGCCCTTGAAGCCGCCGCCGCAGATCTCGTTGAAGCTCAGCTTGCCGAAGAAGCCGGCCAGGAGATCGGTGCAGCTGCCAGCGCCGAGGAGGGCGCTGAACTTGCCCTTGAAGCTGGCGCCGAGGAGCAGCTCGAGCTGAGCGGCAAAGTTCACCTTGGCGCCGAAGAGGGCAATGAATTTGGCTGTCAGGTCGGCGCCGAAGCCGAGCTTGCCGCAAATGTGGCCCATGAAGTCGACATCAGCGAGAAGACCACCAAGCGCGGCGCCAAATCCGGCCTTGACACTTAGAAGAGCCTGTAGCTTGGAAATGAACAGGCTGTCGCCGAAGAGGATGCCGAACTTGCCGCCGACGACACCCTTGCCGCAGAGGCTGACGAAGAATTTGACGAAGCTGCTGCTCTTGAAAAAGCCCCCAATCTTGGCGCCAAAGTCGAAGTTGGCGCCAAAGTGAGTACCGAAGAGAGAGATGAAGGCATCAGCACTGATGCCAGCCGAGAAGCGCTTCATAAATTCAACATTGGAGAGGAGAACACCAATCTGAGCGCCAAAATTGCCACCGGCAACGATGCCGGTGCACTTGTCAAGGAAGGCATCGTTGTGGAACAGCAGATCGATCTGGCTGATGAACTCAGCGCTGCCACAGAGCTTCTGAAACTTGACGAGGAACTCGGCATTGGCACTCAATTCAATGACATGTGCAGCAAAGTTGGCATCACCGAGAATTGTGTGCAGGCCAGCGCTGATATCACCTCCAGCGAGGCAGTCGTCGACGAAATCAGGAATGGGGCTGCAGTCGGAGTCAGTTAGAGTCACATCAAGTGAGACAAAAGGCGCTTACTTCTCCTCATCACAGTCACAATCTTCATCATCGGGCGTGTCCTCGTAGGTGTGTCGGGAGACTAGAAGAGTCAGCTGACTGCATCCTCGGCACCTCAAGCCTGTGGACTTACTCTCAACGTAGGAAGACACGACAGAGGACCGGACTTGGACATCTAAGTGGATTATTAGTTTCTTTGAAGTTCTTGTTTGGAGAACCATCTGATACTTACGGTTCAGAGTAGAAACAAGCGGCGCAGCAGTGACCGTGGCAGCGCAGAAAAGGGCCGTGAGGGGGACGAAGAACTTCATCGTGTCGGTGTAGTTTATATTGGAGCGAATGTCAAATGAAGGTGATTATAAAAACCCGAGCACGGCTCAGTGAAAGAAGAGCGAAAGACTTGGTGAGAAGGAAAGAGTCGAACGAGAGACAAGTTGCGAGAGAAGGTGATGCTGAGAAAAGGCCTTCTCTCCTGACTTTCGTCGTGCAGGCACAGCAATTTATATCCCTTCTCTGCCTTTCACTTACCTCGTGTTTACGAGGCAGCCTCCTGGCCGCCATAGCCGTGATGTCTGTGACTGTTGAGCCCGTGAGAATGCAACTGGCTGAGCTCCGACCACCTCACCTGGAACCTGGAACACCGACGCCATTCAGGTGGCCGGCAGCCGACCTGAGGATCCTGTGATCTTCTGAATGCCATGGACCAGAAGAATGCTGTGTATGTTCTAGTTCCCCAGACTAAGATGGGAACCGAAATTGAACCAGGCTCAAAACATCGTGACCAACCGGTGCCTCCCGTCAGCCTTAGCTGATAGTGGAATAGCCAGGTCGTGATGCGACGAGCTAGCGCATGCTCTGCACAGACACCCAGCACGGCGATCTACAGCCACCGGACGGTGGGTGCCTTGTGCTCCTCGTATGCCATCTGGAGAGTCAGGCGAGATCAGACTGCAAGTAAACAGACGAAGCTGTTTTGGTCCTTAGTTGTTTCATCATTGATCTTCTTGGGGCAACATGGCTAGTGACGCTCCAATTCGGCATGTGATGCCCAAAATAGGTAATGCTGGTTGGAATCACAAGCTGATTCGGCCCAAAGACTGCGTCGCTGGGGATGACCTCTCTTCGAATTCGAACACATGAGGTTGATTCTTGCTGGTTGTTCGCGGTCTTCTCAGCGCGAAAAGGACACCAGTGAACCTGGTCGGTGCCTCCTAGCGACGGCTTCGGAGGCCCAGTGGCATGGCGTGTCGAATGTGAAATACATTCCGTCTGAAAAACGACTGTCCTATTCAACTATCATGTCATCTGATAGCAAGACAAGAGAACGAGCGCGCGAGCTCAGGAGCTGGCACCTTCACGTGTGGCTCAGGACCCTTGCGACCGCCCAAAGCGTGGCCTGAGTTCAATGCGTACAAGTACCTGCCAGGCTAGCGTCGACTGCGCCATGCTCATAGCGGTGGTGACCCTTGAAAACAACGACACCACCCGCAATGCGAAGCCCCGAAGGGCGAGGAGGGAAGAAGGAGAAAGGCCGGTAGGACGATATCCTACCGTATTCGGCTATCATATGCTTGAGAGCAAGCTCGCTCTCCTCTCGAAAGTGAGAGGTCTGGCCATTTTGATCGCAAACAATGAAGCCCCCAGAGTTCCAAAGGATGATCATGGACTCGTCGGCCACGGAGGGCTACCTCGGCACGCTGGGATCCAAGAAAGGATAATGCAGGATTTCAACATGATATTGCAACTGCGAGTAGAAATGACTTGCCGAGGTTGCATGCCTAATGACACCTCACGTGTAGGACAGAGAGTGCGTTGGCTTGGGTATAAATCTGTGGCTAAGCTGGCTTGTGGTCTCTTGATGCATGGCCAGGCACATCTGGATCTTGCCAGTGACGGAAACTTGTGCTGATAGCAAATCCTGAAACCATCTCTGTATTCTCGGGTTCAATAATGACAACGAATTGCTCTCCCTTTAGAAAGTAGGAACCTTGCGGAAGGTGCCTAGGTAAATACCTAAGGAGGAAAAGAGGAATGCGAGCCATTAGTTTTGCTTACTAATCATGGGTGGTCTGTGCTCTAGATCTCTGGGGTTATGAGCCCTGTTTTTGCGTTATTT